TTTACAATTTTGATTGGCTAAACTAAACATGCATGATCGGGATCATCATTTCTTTATTTGGGACGGTCCTACCTGTAGCCAAAAGTACGAGATATTCCGAAAAATTCGGTTAAGATATGGACACTACCGTACGCCACTGACTATAGTACCCGGCGTGACACGATTTTTTACATAGTGAAAATTAAAAATCACGTGCTTTACGCAATTGTTTACATCACATGTTACATATAAATAATATTTTAAAAAATTGATCTACATTATTTGTCACGCGGGGTACTATAGAAGTACGGTATTTGGATTAATCTATGCCTATTTTTGTCCAAAATTTTTATTGGACAAGTCCATATGCCAACACTGGTTACGCTAGGACTTTGTGCTAACACTTAATGATGTGTAAAATAGCTTTTTTTTTTCACATTATGCCATCATGTGCATGAAATTACATAGAATTCTGGCCCACATTATGGCAGCTTGCTGCTAATTCGGGTCAGAATAATGATTCCGAAATATTCCCCTGCGCATGATAATCTAGGTCCTAGGACTTTTGCGGTCCGAAAGTCAGCACGACGGAACCTAAAAGTCTTAGTTAGGACCAAGATCGAATCTTGATCGCTATCCAGAAAATCAAATATTAATTTGGTAAGACATGTTTATAACTGGTAATTTAAGATTTCATTTTAATTTATACTATATATTACACATAAAGTATTAGGTAACATGACCTTAATTTATGATTACTGTATACGGGGATACAATGACAATCAAAAGCTTAAATTTTTAACCGAATATTTAATTTATTTTACAATGAAATGTTTTTTTAACAGAACGTTTTTGATACGTAGTTAAAAATTTTTACAATGAAATGTAAAAAATGTCAAATTGATAAACTTTCGGAAGAGTTTCCATTTGGTACAATTAGTTTAAAATGTGAACATGTTTCTTCCTGGTGTTTGAAGGTATTGTATAATTTCTTTAATAATATATAAAAACATGCTCTTTATATCACTTATATTTATATATGTATATATTTTTGGTAGTGTCTTGTGATATATCTTAAAGAAACACATCGTCAATGTCCTATATGCAAAGTTGAATTAACGCATCAAGAATTTAATGATTACTGCTTGCTTTGGGATAATTCAAATTTTAAAATCGACCTAGAAAGTTTCTCACAAACGGATAATAAACTTTCTGGACAAAATACAAATTCTGGAGCTTTTTTTGTTGTACGATTAAATGGCGAAAAATTTGAATTAAAACTCACCGAGATCAATACTGTTAAAGAATTAAGGCATAAATTAATGCATTATACAAAGATAGATGTAAATAAACTAATGTTAGTTTATAAAAACATGGAACTCAATGTGCATAATTTACTTATTTAAAGATTTTTTTATAATTTTGATTGGATTTATTTTAATCATTTTAATCATTAATTTTTTTCATTATTTTTTTTTTTTATACAGGATGATAGCACACTCACAAGTTATGGAATTTGCGCAAATAGTCATATTCAGCTTATTGTCTTACTTTATTCTATCACGAAAGGACAAGCTGTAAAAAGTTTAGTATTCGATTTATATTGGGGTTACCCTAAATCAGGACGAGACTATCTCGACGGCACTTGTTTGATATATAAAGGTAACAACTTATGGAAAACATACGACTATAAAACTAGGAATCATCTTGACGTATCATATATCTCACATTCCGGAGATAACATGGATGATAATGATGGTTGGTTCTAATATTTTGTAAAAATATACTTTATGTATGCTACATTTTAACGTGTAATATATTTTAATGAGTATTTTAAATTATCATTCACAGCTACGGGACATCACAAAATCTCAGCAAAACTTGATAAACTTCCTAATGATGTTACGCAACTTTATTTAATCTTGAGTTCATGGAAGTCTCCAAAAATTAGTCATTTTCGGAAACCAAGCTTTAAATTATATGATGAAATGAATCCTTATAAACAATTGTGTAAGTACAATTTACATGAAGCTGGCAATTCACAAGCCGTTATAATGTGTCTTATTAATAGATCACATAATGGTAAGTTTTTTTAATGCTGAGTTTTGCTAAGTTTTTACTATATGTTATGAAATTTTATTTTTTCATAAATTTTTTCTTTTGGTGATTATAGGCCATTGGAATGTAATTGAAGTAGGCAAGTTATCCAATGGGAATGCTAAAGATTACGGTCCAATTATAAGCAATATAAGTAAGATTATTGATTTAGGACATAAAATATATTCGAAATAAAATACAGTATAAGATTTTTTTTATAAAATGACCTTTATGTGCTGTACATGAATTTTCACATAATAAGGGCACATTTGCCCGGAATTAGGTAATTTTTATTTCCAACTACTAAAATGATGCTATCGCCGTCTGCTGTTAGTGCAAATAGTAACATATCTTGTAATAATCATAGAACATCTAGTTGTTGTTCGACGTACTAGACCATGAATTTCCGTTTTCATATTATGCATTTTTGTTCCAATAATCCATTTCCGTAAATATTTAAAATCCCAACTTATCTTTTCCATCTTATAAACATGTTTTTCCGTAGATTTTCTCATCTTTTTCATCATATAAACATCTCAAAATGTTCGCATTATTAGTTAGGTTCAGTAAAAAAAACTTAACGTGGGATTTTTCTTGAACCAAGTGAAATAAAAAATTTACCCCAAGTAAATAGTGTTGTGATAATATTTTGATAATTATTTTGTAAAAATTTAGGTTTAAACTGAGACTAGATATTAATGTTTAATTAGTGTTTATTCATTATTTTTCTCTCTCTTTTTTTTTTTTTTTATCCATTTTATATTAGATTGATCATAATAAATTTTTAGCGTCAGACATCTAACATGTATGTTTTTCCGGTTATAAATATTGTCGACATTCGCCATTTTTAAATTTTCACCAATCAATGAATAGCCTATGCAACATCATGTAGATGACAATAATATTATGTAATTGTTGCTATAAGTTTATGTAAGTGTAAAGTCGCTTAATAATTTATATATATTTATGTTTCTCTTTGTAGTATTATGAAGGTCCGTAAAATTTATAAAATATTTGTACATTAAAATAATAAAATTCGCTTCTTTTAAAATAATATACCACTTTTATTTTATAATTAATTCCGAAACCGCATATCAAAATTTATCAAATACTTTTTATAAAATACTATTTAAATTTCTTTAAATCTTAATATAATTAGAAATCATAAGCTGCGTTTACCAGTATATTTTTGATTATTATATTTTAAAATTTTTTATATTAAATCTAAATTTTGACATTAGGTTAGGTTTAGGGCTAGGGTTTGGATCAGTGGTTAGGGTTATTTCAGTATTTAGAGAGCTGTCCATTTTTTGCTTAGTACTTAAACAAATTTGGTTTAGAAAAATGGTATACCTTATAAATTTCGCTTCCGGATGCATCAAAATTGTCCTTATTTTATTAAAAAAATAAGAAAGATATTGGCCGATTTGTGAAATCGTCTAAAATAGATGTAACTTGACATTTTTTAATTTTGAATAACTTTTTATTTTTTGATCCGTTTTTACTACTAATATTTTTGTCTCGATGAGACGATTCTAAGGAGCCCCAAATCACCAAGATATAATCACTGGATCCCGGAATTGGTAAAGTTTTTGCCAAGGTGACTCGCCTATAGGGTGGAAGGAACGGGTTAGACCGCGTCTAACCCATTTCTCTCACCCTATAAGTGCGTCCCCATTGTAAAAACCTAATCGATCTCGGGAACCAACGATTAGATTTTGATGATTTGGGCTCTTTAGAATCGTCTCATCGAGACAAACATGTTAGTAGTAAAATCATCAAAAACGGATCAAAAAATAAAAAGTTATTCAAATTAAAAAATGTCAAATTAAATTTATTTTAGACGATTTCATAGATCAGCCGATATGAATATACAATAAATGAAAGTGTACAAATTATTTTATTTTTTATTTGATAATTTTAAATAGTTGAAATTTTGTTTTTATATTTGAATAAAATTTGTTTAAATGTTTTAGATGTCATATATTTGATCTTTTATAAATGAATTATACTTTATTCTTATGTATGAAAAACAGACCTTTAATAATTGCTAAAATGCTATTTTTAGACTTAGTGTAGTCTCTTACTCACCCCTCTCTCATCATTTATTTCTAGTTAATTACCATTTTTAGCTTTGGCATAAAATAAATATTAGATTGTTACTTACAATAATTGCCTAGGATGTAATTTCGAAATTTGGCTAAATTCGAGCCATAACTCAAAATAACGCTTAGGAATGTTAAGTATGTAGTTAATATTTAACCATGTTGACTCAGTTTGGGACTTAAATTGTTATCGTCAGAATCAAACCCAGTTTAACTAGCTGGTTTATCACGTTTGTTAACACGTCATAAATTATCATTTTTCATTGGTCATAATAACTAGTACTAGTTCGATTTTTTAATTTAACCGGTTAAACTTACAAAAACAATCAACATTTACAATTGCCATTTGTTAATATAATAATGAAGTTAGTTATCAAAAGTAAAGTTCCTCTTGAGATTTACTTTATAGTGTGAACTTCTGTTCATGTGTAGCATGAGATCACTCATCATATCGTTTCATTTTTCAAATCATTGCACTTATTAAAATTTACACAAATTTTATGCAATTGATTAGAGTATTTATTATTTGAATAAGTATATATAAAATATTTATAAGTTATTGTCCGTTAGTTGTTACTACCATATTTATTTGATCATATTAAATAAATAACGTAGGGATGGATAAGTCCAGTCCGGTCCAATAGTTTTTTGGCCCGGTCTCGGTCTTAAAACCGGCCTTTCGTCGTGAGATTGCATGTGATAATATACCAATAAGATTAATCAGTTTGTACAACGATTAAACCACTAATCAAATCTATCGCTCAACAATTAAATTTATTGAAGTAATCATAGTGTAGAAACGCATAACATACAAAATAATATCTTAAAAATTTTTATTTTTTTTGAAAATGCTACAACAGTATATTGCTCTATTAATGTTTATTGTAATCAAAGCATAAAGCAAGCAATATTTTGATTTTATACTATATTTTAAATCACTCTTGCTGTCTCTTCTTCTAATTTATTCCTTTCATCAGAAATTACTATTCTAGCAATTGAAAATGCCCGTTCTAAAGCAATGCTTGTTGCTTGAATCAACAAATAATCATGGGTGATAGTACTTATGATTGGATATTTAGAATACTATATTTGCCATCAACATAGTTAGTGTTTCTATGAACCTGCAGATGAACATGTTCAAAGTTACAAATAAATATAATTGCAAAGATAAAACTACTTATATCTTGCAATTTACTGGGCAGAATTTAACATTTTAACTATTATTTTGATCACAAGATACTCAGGACCCCAAAATATATATAAAGAGGTAAGGTTTTACAAAAATTACTAAATTTAGAAAGATCTGCAGAAAAAAAATCAAAAATAAGCAAACTAATTACTATAAATGGAAATAATCTGTACAAAAAGGATCAAAAATAAGTAAACTAAAACCTAATCTATCTATGTATATTTCAGGGTCCTGATACTTTTCTACAATCTTTATTAAAAGTTGAAAAAGGTTTACTTAATAATGAAAAATGTTTTAGTTGAAAAATTCTAAATTCAAAAATTTTACTATCATAAAAAGTCTGAATTTCAACTAAAACATTTTTCTTTATTAAGTAAATCTTTTTTCAACTTCTAATCAAGATTGTAAAAGAGTATCTTGTAATCAAAATGGTGGTTAAAATGTTAAAATTGGCCAAGCAGATCATGAAATATAAGTATTTTTATTTTCACAATTATATGTCTTTTTCTTTATTTATATTATAAATAAAGAAGAAAGCATATAAGCTGCCATCAATAGAAATAAGGTAAATTGACATTTTAAAAAAATCAATACCTTAACTTTCACAGCTTATATTTCGATAAATTTGAAGCTATCTGGATAATTTAATATTCAAAAGAAAGCTTAGATAGTAAGCTTTCTTTTGAATATTAATTTATTAAAATAGCTTCAAAATTCATCAAGATAGGAGCAGTGAAAGTTAAGATATTAATTTTTTTTAAATGTCAATTTGCCTTATTTCTATTGCAAAATACTAGGCTGATTTTAACATTTTAACTATTATTTTGATCACAAGATACTTTTTTACAAAGTTGAAAAAGGTTTACTTAGTAAAGAAAAATGTTTTAGTTGAAATTCAAAAATTTTTATAATAGTAAAATTTTTAAATTTAGAGTTTTTTAACTAAAATATTTTTTTTTGCTAAGTAAACCTTTTTTCAATTTTTAATAAAGGTTGTAAAGGAGTATCTTGTAATCAAAATAGTAGTTAAAAGGTTAAATTCAGCCTAGTAGATCGTGAAATATAAGTAGTATTATCTTTGTAATTATATGCTTTTTTTTCTTTATTTGTAACTTTAAACATGTTTATGAATTTTAAACTTCAGGTGCTAAGCAAAGATACTGTGAGATACTTTTTAATTTTTTATATATACAAAAGTAATTTCTATTATTATTCACATTATTTATTTTTTCTTTTTTAATCTTTAGTAATCATGCCTTTATTGTTTCGAATAGAGGTAGAGTATACCACTCATTAAAATCAAAAATATTATTCAAATATATTTTCAAATAATTAGTCTAGATGATATGAGAGTGATAGGCTATAGATTATAAACTAATTTTAGGGATAAAAAAGCTGATAAGTAAATGTTTTAAGAAAATATATTATATATTAATTTAATAATAAAAGGTTGATATATAATATCTTCAAATAATTAGTTTAGATAATATTTAAGAATAAAAAGCTAATATATAATATTTTCAAATAATTAGCCTGGGTGATAAAGGAGCAATATGCTATAAACTATAAACTAATTAAATAAAGATAAAAAAGCCAATAGGCAAATATTTGTAAAAAAATATATTAAATATTAGTTTAGTAATAAAAAGTTAATTTATAATATCTTCAAGTAATTGAGTTAGATAATATTTGAAAATAAATAGTTGATATATAGTATCTTCAAATAATTGGCCTAAATGATATTTAAAAATAAAAAGTTAATATATAATATCTTCAAATAATTAGTTTAGATAGTTAGCAATAAAAAGCTAATATATTTCATAGTAATTTTCAATTTATAAATAAATTCTTATTTATTTTTATTTGAATTATGAATTACTTTAAGAGCAGCATTATTTTAT